TATGCTTTTGGTCCTTGTGTCTTCAGAAGCCCTTCGCTGTTGCCAAATCATATACAGTGCCCACCCTCGCTGTTTGCTGTATATTGCTGTGATAAAACACTGTGGCCAAAAGCAGTTTGGAGAGGAAATGACTTTTTTGTATTCCGTTTACAGTCCCTTGAGGGAAGAAGCTAAGGCAGGAACTCAAGGCAGGAGCTGAAGCCATGAAGGGATGCTGCTGACTGGCCTGCTCTTCCTGGCTTGCCCAGTTTTTGCTTTCTCCTGCACCCAGGACCACCTGCCCAGGGGTAGCACCACCACAGTGGGCTGGGCACACTCACATCAATCATTCATCAGGAAAACGCCCCCTAGGCTTTCTCACGGGCCAAGCTGATGAGAATATTTTCTCAGTTGACTCTAGCTGTGTCAAGCTCACTAAAGACTAACCAGGACCCGTACGTACATTTATGACTTTCTATGGGATCATGACCCACAGTTTAAGAAGCTGGAACCTGCCAGACTGTGGTGGCACACACCCTTAATCCCAGCACTCGGAAGGCAGAGGCAGGCCGATATCTGAGGTCAGGGCCAGCCTGGGCTACAGAGTGAGTTTCAGGATAGCCAGAGCTACACAGAGAAACCCTATTTTGAGAGGGAAAAAAAAGGGGGGGGGGAGAAGCAGCTGGAATCTAAATCTAAGCTTCACAAAAATCTTACCTGACGAGGAGGGAAGGCTGTTCCCATGACCGCATTTCACAAGTGAGGAAAACGGAGTCTATATAGACCCGAGGCTCAGGATCTCCTTTCCTTTCCCTCGCATCTGAATCCAGAAAGAAAAAGAAAGTAAACATAAAAAAGTGATTCTGTTGGCGTGAGGCAGAAGCCCCACTAAAGCACGTGTGTGGACAACGTGAGCTACAAGCCTCGGATTTCAGCAACTCTTACTGAACACTATCACTCTTCCCCAAAGAGCTATCCTGTCAATAGATGAGTGTGTAGTAGCTGCAACCCCAGCCAGTCTTCAGGGAAGCGCGTGAGTGTCCCCCACTAGATGTGCAGTTAATAGGAGTGTTGGCCAAGCATCACCGTGATCTCCCTCCTTTACCCCAGGGCACTGCTGTGTTCCCGTTACTGTCCTCCATCTTGTTGGATCACAAGGAGTTTCCCAACCCAAAGACATTTGACCCGGGACACTTTCTGGATAAAAATGGCTGCTTCAAGAAAACAGACTACTTTGTTCCCTTCTCCCTTGGTAAATACACATGTCTCAGGCAATTTTTAGCTTCACTAAATTATGCCATAAGTAAGTGATCCACTGATGCAAAGTCCACTGATCAAACTGTCACAGTGTTCCAAGTCTAGAGGGACATTTAAGTCTATCCGCCAGTCACATGAGGTAAGTCTTCCAGGAACTATTCTGTGGGCTGGGAAGGCAGGTTTTTAAAGAAAACAAGCATTACTCAAATTCAGAAGTCACCTATTGCCTGGTGATAAAGTAACTCACTGTTGCAGATTTTATCTATCGATTTCCTCTTGTAATATTAACTTTTCCAAAACACAGATGCAGATGTCTTCATTTTTAACTGTTAACTATTACTAATCTTCTGATTCTCAGAGCCAGAGTCCATCACAGGGCCTCAGTCCCTCCATCTTATTTCTTCAAAGTCTGGCCTCTATTTATATTTCCTGTTAGGGCCTAAAAACGACTTGGCATTGCCAGCAGGTCTTCTTTCTCATTGTTAATCTGTGCATCTGTTTGATTAGCATTAAAAACAAAACAGTTTGAGGAGCTTGGGATTGTAGTGGTAAACCAGTTAGTTGTCTACGGTATGTAAGGCCCGAGGTTTGGTTTCTAGGCCTGCAAAAATCAATCAGTCAGCAAGTTTAATATGCATTGTTTCTAATTACAATGATAATAAGTGTTCAGCATAAAAATTCAAGAAACCACAATAAGAAGCTGGGCAGTGGTGGTGCATACCTTTAATCCCAGCACTCCGGAGGCAGAGGCAGGCCGATCTCTGTGAGTTTGAGGCCAGCCTGGGCTACAGAGTGAGTTCCAGGACAGGCACAAAGCTACACAGAGAAACCCTGTCTCGGAAAACCAAAAAATAAAAAAGAAACCACAATAAGAGAAGGAAGTAAAAACCACTTGCAATTTCCCGTTGCAGAGACAATCTCTTGCTCTCTCACTACAGGCACTGCGGACAGTATCAGGGTTTATGTAATGTGCAGGCTTTTATACTAAACTTGGTTTAGTCTGTACAATCTGTAATAATCTGATTTCACATGGTACACTGTGATAAATGATGCTAATCTTCCGTGAAAATGCTTTCCGGCTGCATTGTATAACAGATGCACAAGGATTTGCTTAACCCTTTATAGAGCCAGGGCTAGGTGTCATTCAGTCTCATCGTGTCATAAATAATGACCTAAGTGCTGGCCTCAAAGCCTTGCGAGCTCCTACAGATAACCCTTTGTAAGTGTTACAGCGTTGAAGATGACTATTTCTTTAGTGTTTTTCAAAATTTTTATTTTTTAAAAAATTTTTATGTGTATGTGTATCCATGTAAGGCCTGAGGAGGTCAGAAGAGAGCACTGGATCCCCTGTCACTGAAGTTAGAGCTGTTTGTGAGCCACCACGTGGGTGCTGGGAACCTGGGTCCTCTACAAGAGCAGCGAGTGATCTTAACCACTGAGCCATCTCTCCAGCCCCTAGAGCGCTTTGATAAGTGCTAGTTTACTGTCCTCCAGAGCATTCTGATTGGCATTTTCAGTGGCATTTTTAGGTCTCATGTGAACATAAAAGGAGCTAATGTGGCGTTTTCCCCTTCCAGGGAAGCGGTCCTGTGTCGGCGAGAGTCTGGCTCGTATGGAGCTGTTTCTGTTCTTCACCACCATTCTGCAAAAGTTTTCCCTAAAGTCTCTGGAGCCTCGGGACCTGGAGATCAAGCCTGTTGCTACTGGGCTCATTAATCTTCCACCACCTTATAAGCTATGTCTCATTCCTAGATAAGAGTTTGTCCTTTTAATCCTTTAAATTGAAATACTTGGTCCCTTTTTCTAATGTCTCTATTCTAAGTACTGTCTAGGACAGAAACATTATTCATTAAAACCACACGGGCATTTGTCTCAATCTACAAATTCCTTGACATAGAAGTCTAGGTCCTGAAAGCTCCTGAGACACAAGCCATGTGTCTGTGTTCCTCACCTCCTCTGTAAACCAGGCCCCGGCAGAATGTCACCAGGCCCCGGCAGAATGTCACCTGGCCCCGGCAGAATGTCACCTGGCCCCAGAAGGCCTTTGTCAGGACCCACCAGCCAGCAGCAGGGCTTCTTGTATGGCTTTGGAAATGAACAAATTTTCCGTCACTTTTACAATAGAGAAATTAATATAATGGCCTACATACATTTTTATATTCTCACTTCAAAGCATTTATATGATTTGTATCACATCCGCAAAATAAATTTTCACCCCAATGATAGAGCTTCTTTGTATGTTTGACTTCATCTTGTCTCAAAAAAAAAAAAAAAATCCCTCTTGTTGACCTGTAGAAAATCCACTAGAAAGATGAGAGAAATAGGTCACCAAGCGCTCCCTGGTCCCCCTCCATCTGTGTGCAGCCATTGGTCGGCACGTGGCTCAGAGAGCATCTGTACGAAGTTAAACCACACCTAGTGTTAGGACATTCATGACTGGGCCCTCCCGACAGTCACAGGGCTGGGACTGGGGACAAAATACCTTTCAGGAGAACAGCAACTGCACAGGACCCAGCAATGACAGCTGCCCTGGAGATGAGACCAGCTCAGGTCAGTGAGCAGCAGCAGCCATCCGCTGGGTCAGCAGCCAACAGCCAGACCCACAGCGAGACCCGACGGATCTGGGGACATTGGAAAGACTATAAAGATAAAGCTGAGGCAGGAGAATGACAAGACAAGCCACAGGTTGGAGAAAATGCTCTCCAAGGATGCTTCTCATGAAGGATGATTACCCCAACTACTCTGGCCACTCCATTTGAAATTGAAACAGTTAAAAACGGGGCATAAGAGCTGAACAGATAGCCCCCCTCCCCCGCCCCCCCCCCGCTCCCCGCCCCGCCCCGCCCCGCCCCACCGATGACGCAGCTACAAGTAAGCCAGTAAGAGGCTGTGCCACATGGCACCTCATCAAAGAGACGCAAGTGAAGATGAGTCCCAGTTCACAGCAGTCAGAAATGCTGAAGTCTGGACCACAGACGCCAATGAGGTCAGAACCTGGAGCATGGCCCCTGCTGGTTGGAAGGCAAAGTCATGCAGCCGCCTTGGAAGACAACTTAGCTGTTTCTTACACAGCTAAGCGGGTGCCCGGCATATGGCCCGGCACTGCCTTCCTCGCTATGATCCAAAAGACTTGAAGCTATCGCTATATCGAAACCACGTGTGTGGGGCCTGAGAGACGGCTCGGTGGTGAGGCGCACACACCGCTCCTGCAGAAGACCCGAGTTCTGTTCCCAGCAGCCACATCAAGGCAGCTCACAACCTCCTGCAGCTCCATCTGCGGGGCATCTGATGCCCCCTTCTGGCCTCTGTGGATATATGCACATACCCCTACACAGACGTACAATGTAATTATGAACAAATACCTACCTGTGCACAGTTCTAGCAGCTTTAGTTTATAACTGTGAAAACTTGAGATCAACCCAGCTGTTCTTTGCCACACGAGTGGATAAGTCGGTTTTGGTACATCCCAGCACTGGGATGCTGTTTGGGATGCAATGGGATACTGTACAAGACACGAAATGAGAATGCCTTGGAGACAGTGCAAAGTCAGTTGTGGATAGAGGGAACACAGCGGACTTTGTTTTGTGTGATACGTAAAGATGGAGCTGGAACTTTACAGGTCTACCCAGAACTGTGGAATGTGCAACGCCCACAGTGAGCCCTGACGAAAACCACCGGCTGGGTGATGATGATGCCTCAGTGAAGGGTCATCATGTGTGCTGTGCTGGTGAGGCATGGTGGTGGGGTGCGGGTGAGGGACTATGCATGTGTAGGAGCGAGCAGCATAGAGAAAGTTGCTCTACCCTTCCGCTCCAGCTGACGGTGAACCTAAGAGCCCTCTGAAAAAGAAGACTAAGTCTGGAGCGAGTGAGATGGCTCAGTGGTTAAGAGCCCTTGCTTCTCTTCAGAGGACCCATGCTCAGTCCCCAGCATCCACATGGCAACTCACAGTTGCCTCTAAGTCCAGTTCCAGGGAATGTGATGCCCTTTTCTGGCCTCTGTGGGCACCAAGTATGTCCATGGTATACATACATACATGCAGGCACTCAAACATACCCATAAAGTTTAACAAATCTAAAACAGGAATCACATATTTAAAAAGAAAATAACATTAGCCCCTATCTTGTAGCGTATTTTTAAAGCAAAGCTGAGTTCTTAGGCACGTATAAGGAGAGGAGTTGAGCCTGAGTACCTGGAGAGCTTCTAGCACACTCCTGCTCACAGCTCCAGTCATAATAATAGCAAACGGTAGAAGCAGCACCGATGTTCATCAGCGGAAACGCAGACAGACACCATGTGTCACATCTATGCAGTCTGTTCCTTTCTGCCTTTAAAAGGGAACGAATTCTGACACATTCGACCGCACAGAAGAACCTCCAGGACGTTAAAGGGGATAAGCCAGTTGTAAAAGGACAAAAGCACGATTACACTTAGGAGAGGTAAATAGGCGATAGACCGGCTAGGCTAGTGGTCAGCGGGTGGGAAGAGGGGAACGGAGCAAGCCTTTCTCGGGAATAGAGTTTCGGAGGAAGATAAAAACGTTCCAGCTGGATGTGGTGAGCGATGGTTGCACAATAATGCAAATGGACACAATGTCACTGGGAAGTGCTGCTCCCCGAGGTGGAGATAGCAAATGCTATGTTGTGTGTAACATACGTGTGTAAAAACATATAGCTGAGGTGCTTTAGTGGTAAAGTGAGGATTTTGAATCCGCACACTTTAGATCTAATGATCACTGTGGCTTCGTGTGTATTTGTTTTGTTTGTAACCCAGCTGGGCTTCAAACTGGCAAATGACCATGACCTTGAACTCTTGCCCCTCCTGTCCCCACCCCCCACCAAATGCTGGGATTGGGGTTACCGCACGCGCACCTGGCCAGGCTATTACAGTGTCCGACATAAACGTTCCTTCCCTTCCTCCTGTCATCATTTGTTCAGCCCCTGGGAACTTTGCCTTCCCCCTCAGGTGCTTCTCTTCCCATGCTTCCGCTTGAGCATTTAGAATCAGCCACTGAGTTCTCTGAGATCAAGTCCTTCTCTTTTCTTTTAACTGGACTTCAGCATCACTGTGCATAAAAAAATACTTTTTCACCTGGGCGTGGTGGAGCATGCCTTTAGTCCCAGCACTCAAGAGGCAGAGGCAGTTGGAGCTCTATGAGTTTGAGGCCAGCCTGGGCTACAGAGTGAGTTTCAGGTTAGCCAAGGCTATATAGAGAGACCCTGTCTCAAAACAAAAACAAATAAACACAGAACTTTTTCTCCTTCTTCTTTTGCTAATCAATCATTAAATCAACAGATTAAAAATCACATGTATTTTATAGTATTTTATACATGATTCTTGATACTTTTTTTTCCCAAAAGCACAAAATTTGCTTCAAAACATGAGTTAGGCTAGGTCGATAGCGTGATTGGTGCAGTGTTAGCAGTGCATGAGGACCTGGGTTTAACTCAAAACCCGTCTAAAGAAGCCAGATGTGGAGATGGCACTGGAATGTCTGTCCTGGGGAGGCAGATCATGTAGATCCCTCAAACTCGCTGGCCAGCCAGCCTAGCCTAAGTTAGCGAGTCTCAGGCCAGTGGGAGACCTAATCTGAAGATTTCTTGGACACATGGAAGGGTAGGATAACCACACATCACAAAGCTAAAATTTTTTTACAGAGCCTGTAAAAATTCAGGCTCTCTCTTCTCTTTCTCTGACTTGAGCCCCTTCCCATCCAGTTCCCTATTTCCAAGCTGACTGACGTTCCTCTCCTGTTTCCTTCCCCCTTTCTTCTTCCCTTTTAGGTCAGGTAGTTTGGTTTCTTAGTTCCCACCCATCCCAATTCCCCATGAGAAACATCCCAGCAGAACAGAGAGGCAATGATAAGACAGTGCAAACAATGGGTTCTCTAAGTGCGAGTCAGGGGTAATTATAAAGTTCTGGAGAGTTAATTTTACTCTATACATTTACAGTGTCTCTTCCCTCCAAAGAATGTCCTGTGACACAGCGTAACATCCCCAAGAGATTCTGAAAGCATTCTCCCACAGGGAAGTTTGGGTCTGTCAAAAATAGCATCTTCCACTCTTTAAGCAGGTTGCTGTCAGCCTCTTACACCTGCCCCCAAAATGCTATGAGAGATATAAGGTTAAAAAACCAACCAAACCCTGATGCTCAGAGGGTAAGGAGTTTGACCAGGTTTGCCCAGATCTCAGGCATAAAGTCCAGCCGCTGACACAAAGCCCCGGGGTTTGCCCACTCTGCTCTCCAGCCCACGACACAGCCAAGAGGACTTCAGTCCTCAGCCGTTGAATGAACTTCCTGAGATCCATTCCACAGATCTTCTTAAGTCAGGAGACACTAGTTTCTTTTGCGGGGCAGGGGGTGTCATAACAGGAAGTCCAGGCTTGCTCAACTATGTGATTCTCCTTCGTTGGCTTCCAGGGTGTTGTGACTAAAGATGTGTGTCACCACACCCAGGTGACATTAGTTCTTTAATTTTAAAGGACTGATTGGCAATACCACCCAGAGCAGGCTCTGTTGTGTTAGGTCGGATGGAAGTGACATGTCACCTCCAGCTCTCCTTTGGAGATGTCTTGCCCTGCAGGGTGCTGCTCCTGAATCCTTACTTCCCTTGGAATCCAGATGCTCTGAATCTAAGCTTGTGAACCAAGTCCAGCATGGCTTGTAGGGGCTGTCCTGCCTTAGGGGTCAGGATTCGTCAGGAAATTGCTAAGAGACTATATAAATGACCCATGTAGCTTTTTAATCTATCCCCCAACCATAGAGACATCTAGACAACTTTGGTTTCTGTACTTTCTTATTAGCATGCTGTATTTCTAGGCAGGAGAAGTGGCTCAGAGGTTAAGAGCACTGGCTGCTCTTCCAGAGGTCCTGAGTTCAATCCCCAGCAACCACATTGCAACCATCTGTAATGAGACCTGGAGCCCTCTTCCTGCATGCAAGCATATATGCAGGCAGAACAATGGATACATAATAAATTAATAGAATACTGTATTTCTCTGGGCTGAGGGAGGCAACTATTTAAAGACACACCTCTGTTTCAGAGATATTAAAATGTCAAACAAAAACAGCATCTTAGAATCAATGAGATCCATTTACCTGCTCTAGTTAATAGGACAACTCAGAGTCTGGCATGCAATGGCCCCTGCCTCTGAAATGACCAGACCATTTAGAGCTATGGTCCTGGTTTCCAATTAACCTTCGACCTGATACCCTGATAGCCTTACTGAGGTCAAGTCAGTAAACATACATCACATTCATTTTTCCAAAGTCAGAAAGAAGCTCTTTATCCCCGACAGAGAAGATTACTGCAGGACAGACTGTTTACAGATTAGGCAATCCCAGTACACAGAACAGATTCAGAGTCCACACCACACAAGCCTCCCATCAGCTAGACAGACGAGATCACAATCTTGGAAGCAGGGTTGGTGGCGGCAGCTGGAAGAGCCTTGGATTCTAAACTTCCACATAGTCATTTTCCAGCCTGCTCTAAAGTCAACACAGTGTAAAAGCAGTGATGAGTTCGTTGCTTTTGACTGCTGTTCACCGTGAAGACTGGTGACATGCTGGTGTAGGCTGGGAGCTAGGGACCCAGAAACAGTCCTTAAGCACCTTGTGTTGTAGCTGAGGAAGACAAACAAGCCAGCAAGAAGTCAGGGGCTGTGACATGTGCACAGAGTTCTGTGGGAATGCCGGGGGAGGACACTGAAACCAGACCAGGAAAGTGACAGGGCTAGTTTTCAGAAAAGAATGCTTGAATGTATTATTATTATTATTATTATTATTATTATTATTATTATTATTAACACAAATAGGTGTCTTCCAAATGGAGAGAGAAGAGTGATCCTAACGCTCAAAAGGACCTTAAAGGCTTGGAGGATGTTGGATATTGCAGGGGAGTCAGACAATCTGACGGTGGAAAGGTAATCCAGTACGGTTCAGTCCTGGAAGGCCTCTGTCAAGTAAAGAATTCTGGACCTAACCTGGGACAGTGAAGAGCAAGGGTCTGACCAGTGGAAAAAGGCACGGAGAGCATGGTGTAGTCGGTGGGAGTGGAGCCCTGGGCACAAGGTAAGTGGGAGGCTGTCACCATGATCTAGGCAAGGCTGAATCGGAAAGAGTCAGTACCCTTGAGGGGGAAGGTAAGGGACACCGGTGAATACTTCCAGACAGATGCACAGAGGTCCGGGGACTGGAATGGCTCCAGTGTTTTTGACTAGGGCAATGGGTGGTGCCATTTCCCCAGAGGAGCAGCTCTAGAGGGAGAGAGGGCACAGGTCTTCTTTCCCCGAAGAACCAGCAGAAGAGAAAACATCTCAGCCCCCACATTAAGCAGCAGAACTGACACACGCACAGCATTCCACAGTTTGTACAGCACTTCTGTTGAAACAGAGACACGACCGCCCGCCCGCCCGCCCGCCTGCCCACCCGCCCGACCAACACAGGTGGTGTGGGGGCGGAGTGGCAGGGACTGTTATCTGGAGAGGAGCAAGCTGTTTAGAGAGAGCTTTGGAAACCACAGCCCGGAGCTGGGCTGGATGCAAAAACAACAACAGCAGCAACAAACTCTGAGGATGTCACACATTGAGATAGCAAGAGCAAGCATTTAAAAGGATACTTTAGAGAATTTGTGTTAAGGTAATGTATACATATACATATATATTCTAAAATGCTTGTTTCATATATATATATGCATACATACACACACACATATGAGTCATATATATATGCATACACACACACACACACATATATGAGTCGCTTCAGTTCTTAAAACCAATTGAAAGCAAAATAGAAACACAAAGAAAAGAGAAGCTTCTACCTTCTATAAAATTAAAAAAAAAACAAACAACTTGTTATTAACGACTGCCAGCCAAATGAAGTGGACTCAGTTCAAAATATGTGAGGACACAGAGCCAACCCATCCGAGTACAGATGCTGGAGGACAGGCCATCTTCCCCAACACAAAGTGTCGCGTTCCTGATGGTTTCATGGAGTGGTCCTCTGTGGTGGATGGGCAGATGGACATGGTATTAGATTCTACCAAAGATGGGGGGAGATGGCAAGTGTCCTGTAATGTCTGCTCTCTCATTCATGACAGAATCTCTGATTAACTGGATACATCGTTGTCTGGAACTTGTGACTTTATTTATCTGCTTTCCTTACATGTAGGCATGGCCCTGTGACCAAGCTTGAGCCTGTAGACTATAAATAGAAACTCTGAGGTTTATTCTTTTTAAAGGTTCATTAAAATGTAATTTCCACTCAATTTAGCCACTTAAACAAGCACGGTTTTAGGGGGACGTCAGGCATGGTAGCATATGCCTAAAATCCTAGCACCTGGGAAGATGAGGCAGGAGAATTATAAGTTCCCAGAGACTGTCTCAAAACAAACAAATTATGCTTTTATTATTTTCACAGAGTTAGGTAACTATCAACACAATCTTAGGTCATGTCTATTACTTCCAAAGGAAATGCTGCACCCTTTGTCTACCGTTCCCCAGTCCCCAATACCCCCGGTCCTGATAACCACTAATCCACCTTCTGGCTTTACAGACTTGCTTGTGTTGACCATTTCTTGTAAATGAAGCCATGCACTAAGTGTTCTCCCTTGTCTGACTCCTTTACTCAGCATGTTTTTGAGGTTCGTTTGTGTTGTTGCCTAAAGTTAATTTCTTTTCTTGTTGGCTTATGACGCGTTGTTTGGATAGGACACACTGTTTATCTAAGCGTTAGCTGAAGGACATTTGTCTGGATTCTGATTTGGTGCTGTTTTGAATAATGCTACCGTGTTCATGTACAAGTCTTCGGGTGCACCTTCCCATGAGTCTTGGGTAGGTACCCTGGAGTAAACCTCCTAGTTGGTAAGGTTATGATGTGGCTCTGCGAGGAAGTCAGGGGAAGTCTCAGAAATAAGCTCCACAGCTGCCGCTCGGTTTCTTTTCACGCACTGGCTGTGCAGGGCTGGGTGTTTTCTCTGTGAAGAGAGAGTGCATCTTCCTTCCTGGGGGCCGAATGGGAACAGAAGACAAGTTTGGAACTGACCTTGGCAAGAGGGAAGAAATGCACATTGAGCATGGAGGAACAGCAGGTTAGCTGGAGTCAGGCCAACACAGGCTCCCAACTTCGTCAGTTTCCTGTCGCTTGCAGCGGATTCTAACCCTAGTGTATGTGGCCGTGGGCGTGGTGACCACTGTATAGAACCAAAGAGCTTTAGAGAAAGCTGCTGAGACAGGGGGGACCCACAGAGGAGCTGGACCAGGAAGAGACAGACAACGTGGATGTCATCTGTACCTGTGCCCAAGGGTCATCCATCCTGTCGCAGACAGCATCGTTATCTTTCTAAAAGGTCTGTCTTTGTGAAGCTGGCTGATGAGGAGGAATTAGGAACCACCAGATTACAATACTGAGTGGTGCGTAAACTGTCGTCCTGAGCCACATTGTCCTCCCGAGCTCTGAGAAAAGATGCAGCAGTGCATGAGACGTCTGGAGGGAGCTGATTGACGTAGCTGAGAGCTGAAGTTGGGACAATGCCTTCTCACATTCCCTAACCCTATCTGCCTTGTTTTTAAATAACCCAGGCTGTCTGAACATGAGCAATAACCAGAACGGGGCGCATGTGGAGATTATTAGAGAAAAATACAGCAGAAGAGAAATTATTCCAGACAACAGAGAATGAGCTCAGACACATATCATCCAAAGGAGATGGGTTGAATTAGAAGAGCTAAGCAAAAAATAGAGAAAAATAAAACCATGACAAAGAAATGTAACCAGCCTTGAGGCACTAGGAGGATGCAGATTACATGCAGCTAAATCTCTCATTGACGAGTAATAATCCTAAATGCTAATAGGCACAATGTGATGTTTAAGTCAACATCCTGGGAAGACAATAGAAAACTCTCAGATTTGGAATCAGAAGGCCAACTATCTCCATATTTGCTGATTAAAATGATATGATCTAGGTAAATCATTTAAACTTTAGTGTGAGGAGGTGAGGGAGATGGTTCTCTGGGAAAAAGCACTTGCCACCAAGCTTGATGACCCAAGTTCAATCCCTGCAGCCTCCATGGTAGGAGAGAACAACTCACCCCACAAACACACACAGACACAGACACAGACACAGACACAGACACACACACACACACACACACACACACACCATGGCACATGCACACTGCTCCACACACACTACAAATTTAAATGTAATAAAATTCAAATACTAATAAATATACATTTTAGTGGATCCCAGGTTCATTTCTGTGGCTGTAATCAAGTGCCCAGATAAAAAGTCCCTTGGGGAGGAAAAGGTTTATTTTGGCTACAATTTCAGGTTTTATCTGTCACAGCAGGGAATTCATGGCAGCGGGAACCTCAAAAGCCAGTGACGTCATATCCAAGGTGAAGAGCAGAGAAAGGTGACAACATGGATGTTTCCAAGCGCTCAGCTCACTTCCTTTTTTATATAGTTCAGAACCCACACCCAGGGAACAGCGGTTACACACACAGGAAAATGGGATATGATGGTCTCCCAAGAAAGCCTGGCACATCCTGTCTAGTAAGGTTTCACTCTGTTTCTGGGGACTGTCGTGGGGGTGACAGCTAGTCCTGGGTGCCACTGGCAAATCCAGTTCGCAAATGCGAAGTTGGAAGTGCAATTCTGAGTTCAGAGAAGTTGAAGTATAAAAGAAAAATCAGGGAGTTGCCAGTCATATTAAGTGGATAAGGTGGGGGATGGGGTGGCAGCGGCGGGTTCGAGGGCTGATTCAAAAGGTCAGGGTGACAATGAAGAACCAATAATCCCTTCCCATGTACAAGTTTACCCGAACCCTGCACTCTCATGACACTCAAAACCCACATACTTCTCAAAAAGAGTGATTGGGGAGTTGACTAAACTCTTAATTCATTTATAGTTGACTAAGCCCATCGATCAGGGTTAAATTGCATTGAGACTGCTCCACAAGACACTGCTGGAGGATACAAAGAAAGAATATTTAAAACTAAGATGCCTCAAGTCCGATTAAGCAAGACTGGTGTGAAAATTAGCCAAGACTCATTGTCAACATGACACATTTGGAGAGGACTCTCAATCGAAGAATTGCCTCCATCAGATTGGCCCTCGGACATGTCTATGGAGGCATTTTCTTGATTGCTAGTTGATGGAGGAAGGTGTGGTCCATTCTGGGTGGTACCATTCCTGGGCAGGTGCTCCTAGGTTGTATAAGAAAGCAGGCTGAGCAAGCCATGAGAACAAACCAATAAGCAGGGGTCCTCTGTGGTTTCTGCTTCAGTTCCTGCCTTTGGTTCCTGCCTTTGGTTCCTGCCTTTGGTTCCTGCCTTCGGTTCCTGCCTTCGGTTCCTGCCTTGGCTTCCCTTGACGATGCACTGTCACCTGCTAAATAAATAAACCATTTCTTCCCCAGGTTGCTTTTGGTCATGATACTTTTCACAACAGAAAACAAAGTAGGACAGTTGATTCAACTGCCTACACAGATCCCTTCCCCGCCGCCTCTCTTTTGTAGACTCTAGGAAGGATCGCAGAAGAGGATACTTGTCTCTGACCTCTCTCCCTAAGGGTAGGTGTCCTCTCTGCCTTCTGCCGTTGGAGCATCCTCCCTTTGCTCTGGTCTCTCTGGTGGTTTGCTGACTCTGCTCTACACTGGTGTTCACTGGGATTGATTGAGTTAGGATATATTTTTCTAACTGTGCTAGAGGGCATGGGGTCTCTGCCCTCTCCTATTTATTATTTATGTAACTCTGAGAAGATTCCTCATCTAAAATGGGAAATGCAGTGTCTTCTTTGCTGGTCTGTTGTGAGGGATGTATGTGGAAGGCTTTAGTAACCTGTAAGGCAATGCGTGACGCATGTCTAAGGTTGGCTGGAGACCCAAAGGTCTAGACAGGGACAACCTTGGGAGCACTGAGAATCTAGGAAGAGGGGAATATCCAAAATTAGTAGAGAGAAGCGGAACTCTGAAAGCACTATTTGGTTTTGGAACACAACCATCTGCAAAGCTTGCTTCCCAAGGTTTGAGTCAAGGTCTGGAGAAGATGTTAGACCACTAAGCTCTCTACTTAATCTCTCCATTAAGAGCTCGAATTCTAGCTCAGGCTTAAGATATTTGTGGGAAATATTCATTTCCTATTGCTTTGGTTAAAAAAAAAATAACCACAAACATAGTGACTCCCTGTGTCACTTATGAGGACACTTGTAATTACAGGGGCCTCCATCTGGCTGACCTAGGACAGTCTCCCCATCTCAAGATAACTGATTAGCAATCTGTTTTCATCTGCAAACTTCATTCCCTTGCCATGAAACACGGCATGGACAGGTGTCAGGAACTGGACACCTTTATTACACCCCATGCCCACCACAAAAAGGGACAGAACTCTAGAAATCATAACTCTTGCACACCCTCCAGAAATCCTTCCTTGATCCCCCCAAAACTGGGTGCTGTGAACCTGCTTGCCCATCTGGGAGGCTAGAGTGCTTTTTCCGACTTGACTGCGCCCATCTCTTCGATAAGTTTACAAGTACCACACACACAGGGCTCTCAGTTGGTTTGGTCCTTGGTGGAAAATGACATCCCGTGTAGTCTTTGGCTCAGCATAGTCTCCACATACAGTTGTGGAATGCATGGTGAACTGCTCCATCGCCTGTACAGGATCCCGGATAGATCAGATTCTTAATGATGTTGCTGCTCTGGCCACATCTCTTGCTGCCATTTACTGTTTTCTGAGCACTTGACATATGCCAGGTTCTGGAAAGGGCCTTACATCCATCATCTTTTTCTTTTCTTTTCTTTTATTCATTTTACATACCAACCACAGATCCCTCTCTCATCCCTCCTCCCACTCTGCCCCACCTTTCCCCGCCTATCCCTCATCCCCTCCTCCAACGGGGTAAGTCCTCCCATGGGGGGACAGCTAAGCCTGGTACATTCAGTTGAGGCAGGACCAAGCCCCTCCCTGCTGCACCAAGGGTGAACAAGGTGTCCGACCATAGGTAATGGGGTCCAGAAAGCCAGCCCAGGGATAGATCCTGATCACACTGCCAGGAGCACCTCAAACAGACCCAGCTACATAACTGTCTCCTGTATAGAGGGCCTAGTCCGGTCCCATGCAGGTTCCACAGTGTAAAATTTGTGAGCTCCTTTGAGCTTGGTTCAGTTGTCTCTGTAGATTTCCCCATCACGGTCTTGCGCATGTAATCCCTCTTCCCTCTCTTTGATTGGACTCCCGGAGCTTGGCCTGGTGCTTGGCTGTGGATCTGCTTCCATTACATACTGGATGAAGGCTCCATGATGACACCTTGGGAAGAGGAAATAGAGGAGATCCCGATGAGTAAACTAGGGATGGGGGTGGGCAATAGAGGGGAGGGGATGGAGGAGAGAACATGAGGGAATGGGATGGTTGAGCAGGGGGTGGGGGGTAGAGTGGGAGAGCAATGAATGAGACATCTTGATAGAGGGAGACATCATGGGGTAGGAGAGAAACCTGGTGCTAGAGAAATTCCCAGGAATCCACAAGGACAACCCCAGCTTAGACTACTAGCAACAGTGGTGAGGGTGCCTGAACTGGCCTTCCCTGGTAATCAGAGTGGTGAACACATCCATCATCTTACTTGATTGACACAACAGTCCATGAGGGAGGGGCTGTATCTCCTCGTGCTATGCAGAAGGAAGCTGAAGTTTAGAGAAGTAGTTTTCCTCAAGGTCAAATGAGCAAAGAAAGGAATTGGAGTTAGATTTCACATCTAACCTTTGACCCTTGAAGTTCATGTTCCTCTTACTTCTAGTGGATTTGAGGGACATTGTGGGCCCTGGAGCTTCAAGGCACATACACTGAAATTCTGTGGGGTTCAGGGGAAGCTATCCCAAATTCAGCCCTAATAATCTGCTAACAAAGAATGTTTCCTATAGAAAGTCAGGGGGCTCCCTCTCCTAGAGAACAGGGGCTGTCTATTTAACATAATTGAAGTCTGCATAAGGAATTGTCAGCACTTCCCAGAGAGGCAGTCTTCCTACAGAGGAATAATTGGAGCTATCTGGGGACCACCGAGCCACACCCTCACTAGTGACAGTAAATACCCTAGATCAAGAGCAGTAGTGATGACTGTCCTCTCAAACTTTTCTCTGGATCCTTTCCTTCACCATGTAGGGTGACAAGATCACACCAGAAAATTATCACATTTTATCAGCGATGTCCAGGGGTAAAACTTAGCACTGACCTTGGGGCCACCCTTGGGGCCATCTATGAGCCATACTGGCCAGGCTATGTGCTGTCCACACAGAATATCCAAGAGGGAAGTGTTACCTTTATCGGTGGGTTGTAGAGCGTGGACTGTAGAGCGTGGGAGTCCCTTGAGCAAGTTAGCTAAGGGCAGAGCATGGAGATGCAAGGGGAGTCAGTGAGTGGACCCCTTTGTTCATTCGCTCGACAAATGCCACCTGCAGCAGTCACCTGGGTGGAGCTGGAGACAGCGCTGCTGGCAGAACAGGGGGCCAGGCAAGTCTGTGCTTGGTCCTGACCCCTCCGGCTCCACGTGAGCGACACACACCAGGCTGAGGCATGAACACTGCAGCAGGAGGCTGAGGCAGCAACTCTCAGGGCAGGAGAGGGATTTGGAGTAGGGTGGAGCTCCCCAGGGAAGCGGCACTCAGGCAAGATTGTGTGCTTGGAAGGAGGAGCTTTTGTGACGGGCCACCTGAGCAAGGCAGAGGATTTCAAGGGGCAAGTCAGGGACTTCAGTAGATTTACCAAGTTATGAACCCGTGCATGTCACCCTGTTTTAGGGCACCCCATCACTCCAGTAGTCTCTCCTGCCCATCTCCCATTCCTTTCTCCTGCCTCAGGCAAACACTGTTAATTTCTACTTCAGCTCTCCTTCACGGGATATTTCATGTAAGTAGAATTGTACGATGTCGCATCCTTCTTTTCTCATGGAACATAATGTTTTTGGAGTCCCTCCACATTGGACCAAGGCTTTTATTCCTTTTTATTGATAAATAGAATTCAATTGCATTTATATACATTTCACTTTTCTTTCCTTCCTTCCTTTATTCTTTCTTCCCTTCTTTCCATGCCCTGTTTCCCACATCCCCAACCCTGTCTGATGGGTTCTTGCTATGTGGCCCAGGCTGGCCTTGAACTCTAAAATCCCCTGCTTTAGCTTCCCAAGTGCTGAGATTGAGTGTGTACCACCATGTCTAGCTAACATTTTACATGTCTATTCTCCAACTTATGGACATTTGTGTAGTATCCACTTATGAATTATTATGAACGATTCTAGTATAAACATTCTTGAGTGCAAATCTTGACACTCTTGAGCAGAAGCCTATCAATGGAACCACTGTATTTATTTCTATGAGGAGGGGTTTACCTAATTACTTTTATATTACCATTGTAAAAATAGCTATACTAGATATAATTCACATGCCATAAATTCACCTGGTTTAAGTGGATAGTACAAAAATATTAGTTCAACCGGGCATGGAGGTGCATGCCTTTAATCCCAACATTCAGGAGATAAGAGAGGCAGGTTGGATCTCTGTTGCACGAATCCTAAATGGTCTTATTAAAAACCTGGAGCCAGGTATCGGGGTAAATGCTGAAAGATCAGAGAGACAAAGGAACAAGCCACAGCCACTTCTCACTTCACCAACTCTACAAATCTTCTGACTGAATGCTCCTGAGTCCTCAGCCGAAAGCTCTCTAGTTCCTGTCTCCTCACACCTTATGTGCTTTTCTCTGCCCAGCCATTTCACTTCCTGTCTCAACCTTCCTAGTGCTGAGATTAATGGCTTGTGTGCTTCCAAATACTGGGGTTAAAGGTGTGTGCCACCATTGCTCTGTTTCTGTCCCAGACTGGATCAATCTCATGTAGCCCTGTGTGGTCTTGAACTCACAGAGATCCAGACAGATCTCTGCCTCCTGAGTGCTAGGGTTAAATGTATGTGCCACCACTGCCTGGCTTCTATGTTTAATCTAGTGGCTGTCTCTGTCCTATGATCTTCAGGCAAGCTTTATTAGAGTACAACAAAATATCACCACAGATCTCTGTGCATTTGAGGCCAGCCAGGACTATATAATGAGACCCTATCTCATGAGTGTGTGTGTGTGTGTGTGTGTGTGCAGGTTCAGTGAGCTGGCTCAGTGGCTGAAGGTGTTCTCTGCCAAGATTGATGACTTGAATTTGATGCTGAAATCCACGTGGTGCAAGGAGGGAGCCAGCTCCTACAGGTTGTCATGTGACCTCCTCATGTGAGCCATGGCATGTGAGCATCCCACCCCCTTCTAAATAGATAAATACATCTAATTTTTTTTAAATTTTATTTATTTTATTTTACAATACCATTCAGTTCTACATATCAGCCACGGGTTCCCCTATTCTCCCCCCTCCCACACCCTCCCCTTACCCCTAGCCTACCCCCCATTCCCACCTCCTCCAGGGCAAATCCTCCCCCAGGACCGCGATCAACCTGGTAGACTCAGTTCAGGCAGGTCCAGTCCCTTCTTCCCAGACTGAGCCAAGTGTACCTGCATAAGCTCCAGGTTTCAAACAGCCAACTCATGCAATGAGCACAGGACTTGGTCCCACTGCCTGGGGGCCTCCCAAACTGATCAAGCCAATCAACTGTCTCACCTATTCAGAGGGCCTGATCCAGCTGGGGGCCCCTCAGCCTTTGGTTCATAGTTCATGAATACATCTAAATTTTAAAAGATACATGTTAGTACATTTCCAGTTGGACACCCACAGCCACCATCCTTGCTAGGTTTTAGAACTTTTATGACCCTAAAAAGAAACCTTGTGTCTAGTTGCTCCTCCCCCCATGCCTAGCTGTGGGTAATCCTCGAACCCACAGCCGATTTCTCCACATTGATGTCAGCTTTTTGTCAAGGTCTCAAGTGAAAGGATTCACACACAGTGGAACCTCCCTTGTGGGTCATAGCGTTTAACACACATCCACACTGTACAAGGTGTCAGCTCTTGGCTTTCTGTCATCTAACAACATCCCCTGGTGTGGCTTCCACTCTGAGTAGGGCTGCTGTTGACGTCCATGTGCATGCCCACGAGCTTTTATGGGCATGCAGGTCCCACTTCTCTTGGGTAAATACCCAGGAGTAGAATTGTTGGGTTATATGGGAAATGCATATTTAATCTTCAAGAAACTGTTGAACTATTTTGGAAAATGTCTGTGCTACCTGATTTTCCCATGAGCACTGTGTGAGGGCCCTGATGTCCCTATCCTCACCGCTGCCGTTACCATTCCTCTATATTAGGGTCATTCTGGGGTAGGTAAGGGGACATCTGGTCTAACCTTGGATTTTAATAACTAATAATATTGAGCATTTTAAAAAACTGACCATACATACTTTGGTAAAATGTCTATTTCAATTCTCTAATAACCTCCTTCTACTTAATGTGTTTGTTTGTTTGTTTGTTTTTTGGTTTTTTGAAACAGGGTTTCTCTGTGTAGCTTTGGAGCCTGTCCTAGAACTCACTCTGTAGACCAGGCTGGCCTCAAACTCACAGAGATCCGCCTGGCTCTGCCTTCCGAGTGCTGAGATTAAAGGTGTTTACCACCACCACCCGGCTTAATGTCTTTTTTAAAATAAGATTTTACCCATGACTTAAAAAACATATATAATAACCGACTTTCTGAATCTGGCTTATTTCACTTAACATTGCATGATCTCCAAGTCCATCCCTTTCTTGAAGGCAACATAGTTTTATTCTTTATGGCTGAATAATTCTCCACTGTGTGTATGTTTATCACGTTTTATCCATCCATCTGTTGCTGAACACCAAGGCTAACTCCACAACATGACTTGTAAATAGAGCCACAGTGAACACGGGTGTCAAGGTTTCACCCTGTTGTGCTGACTTAGATTCCTTTGGATGTACACCCCAGAGTGTGATAGCTGGGTCATATGACATGGTTTTAATTTTTCTGTAAGAAACACACAGACTTGTTTCCGGAATGTCTGGGGACTGATTTATATTTCTCCATGTTGTCACCAGCAGTGCTCTTTCCTTGATGTTAGTCGTCCTGACTGGAGCGAGACAGACTTTCCGTCTTGTTTTCATTTGCATTTTCCTGATGATTAAAGACATTAACATCTTGATTTGAAAAGTGTCTATTCAGCTCCTTTACTCATTGATTGGACTATTCATTCTTTTGTTTAATTTTACTGTTGCTGTTTGTGGTAGTTTGAATGTAATTGATCCCCATAAGCTCATAGGGGGTACCACTATTAGGAGGTGTGGCTCTGTTGGAGTGGGTGTGACCTTATTGGAGGAAGTGTGTCACTGTGGAGGTGGGCTTTGAGGTCTCCTATATGCTCAAGCCATGCCCAGTATCTTAAACCACTTCCTGTTGCCTTGAGTCAAGATATAGGACTCTCAGCTACTTCTCCAGCACCACGTCTGCCTGCATGCCACCATGTCACACCATGATAATGACTAAACCTTGGAAAATGTAAGCCACCCCCAATTAAATGTTTTCCTTTGTAAGAGTTGTCATGGTCATGGTGTCGCTTCACAGCAACAGAAACCCTAACTAAGACACTGTTGTTTAAATTTTATGTGTATGGGTGTTTTGTTTTGCCCACATGTCTGTCTGTTACCATGACTGGTGCCTGTGGAGGCCAGGGGAGGCTGTCAGGTCCCCTGGAAATGGAGTTATAGGCGGTTATGAACTACCATGTGGGTGTAGGACTCAAACCTGGGTCCTCTGGAAAGTAGCCTTTGCTCTTAACTGCTAAACTATCTCTCTAGCCCCTATTTGGGGTTTTTGAGACAAGATCTGATCAGCTAGCCCTGGCTGGCCTGGAAGTCACTACATAGACCAGACTGACTTCAAACTCCAGCAATCCTCCAGCTTCTGGGTACTAGAATTATAGGTGTGTGCCAGTGCATTCCAGCAGGGCTTTAATTTTCCAAGTTCTTTACATTTTGGATTTTAATTTTCTATTAGATTAATATCTGGCAAACATTTTCTCCTGTCCTGTGGGTGATACTCTTTGCTATGGCGAAACTTTTTAGTTTGATGCAATCACATCTGCCAACTATTACTCTAATTTCCTCAGCTGTCAGAGTCCAATTCAGAAAGCCAATGTCCTTTGATAGTGTTGAAATAGGATCGTCTTCCTATCGTTTTGTTATAAATAATTTATTAATTATACACACATTATCAAATATGTGATCTCCAATTGCTTGCTCGAAGCATGTGCCTCATTTTCTCAATTTGTTTTGGTTTTGAGTGGGGAGGACAAAACAGAACGGTGCTTCAGAATGGGGCACAGGGGGCGGGGGGGGGGGGGGCCAAAGGGAACAGATAGCCCCATTTGTAAGTTGTAACAAGCACATGCCGAATCTCTTAAAAGCCCCTGGGCACCAAAGGGTTATAAGCAGCTGTTTCTTGAGGCCTGTTTACAGTCCAGTTAATCAGTAAGCCAGAATCCCAAAGTGGGGATGCGCAGAAACCTCCCCAAAGGTTTTCTAGGCTTAAGAGAGGAAGAGACATGAGCCCGCGGAGCATCGTGGCTATCCCAGGACCTCAGAAATAATTCCCAGAGTCACAGAGGCCGGTCCCCAGTCTTCTGCAGGTGTGGCAGGTGCGAGGCCAGGCCTGGCCACTCTTGGCTCTGCATCCTGAGACCGGGAGGCACGTTGCAGAGCCGCTGGGAAGCTCGGTGAGATGCCAGATCTACCTTCAGCCTTCCTGCCCCTCCTCCTTCTCTCCAAGTTAGTTGCCCCTGTGACCTTCCGTCACCACCGCTATGATGACCTCGTGCGGACTCTATACAAGGTGCACAACCAATGCCCGGAAATCACGCGGCTCTACAATATCGGGCGCAGCGTGAAGGGGAGGTACCTCTACGTGCTGGAGTTCAGCGACCACCCGGGGATCCATGAGGCCTGTAAGTCTTGAGTAGTTCTGGGGCGTGTTGAGAAACTAACACCTTCTACAAATCCAGAGGCGGTGGTTATTGCAGCAGGAGACCTCATATACAATGACTGCATTACCTCTTCCTCCACCTGGGAAGGCAGGCCGTCCTACTTGGCTCTCAAGATTCTCTGGGACCTAGGGAGCTGCAACCCCAGTTCAGGTTACAGCGCATTCCTCCTTCCTGAGTTCCGTTTGCTCAGAACTTCGGGGGTAAAGGGTGTCTTCCTCCTGTTCCCTCCAGCCTCCCCTCTCTTCCCTCACGCCCCTGGTCTTTTTCTCTTATTCCTTCTGTCAGGATCCAACAGCTTGTGAACATAACGGAAATGGTTGACCTCTTCATTCTCCCGAGGCTCCAGGCAGATCTCTTCCAGGAAGGGCAGTGATCCAACATGGTGTCCTCGAGAGAGTTTAGAGGTTGAGATGTTCGTTTTCTTTTTTGTTAGTTTGCTTCTATTATCCAAGCAATCCATGTTTGCTTCAAAAATAGTTCATGACCAGCCAGGCAACATTAAAAAAAAAAAGCCCATCTTGAAACAACCGACCAACTGAAAAAACTAGAAATTAGATAAGGAAAAAAATAACAAACTGAAACACAGTCCAAACACTCAAGGATAAGTTTTATTTACATGGCTTGATATCAATCCTTCCAGACATGATAGTCCTACCTCTCAAAGGCAAGTGTCTTTTCACTCTGTGTCAATGAATGACCCTCTATGGCATTCTTGGCTGTGTAACATGCTATTGTCTGGCTTCATTAACTGCTCACACACTGATGAACTTGGATGATGTCTCTAGTCTCTCGTTGCTTTGTTTACAACAATGGTGACATTTGAGTTAAGACACGTGACTTATGTCAGTTCCTCCTTCAGCCGGTCTTTTTCTCCCTCCCGTACCCAGCCTTCTCCATTCTGCATTATAATTTGCTTTCAATCATTGCACAACACTCCCAATGGGTCTCCCATCCAAAGATGACCATTCTCTGAACCCTCTCACCTGCCGGGGAGAGGCCAGACCATTTCTTTCATTACAAATACAGTCTTCTTGCACTCCTGCTTTAAAGGTACAATGGATACTGACAGTGAGAGCTTCCAAATTTTATACAGAGAAAGCTCAAGAAGAACGATGTGGTTTCCTGGGGTTAGGGTCTTGCCTAGCAAGCACCTGCTTTTACTCAGATCACATGCATATTGTGGAAGCTTAAGGCTTTTTGATGGACTTTATGAGGTTAGCCTTTTCAGCCACGCCCCTTTCAGGCCACGCCCCTCGGGCCACGCCCCTCCCTGGTGCTCCTCTACCTCTAGCGCTCAAGGCCTTTCTTGAGGCTGTTGCAGATAATGCTGGTTCTCAGGGATCCCACTTTCCCCCTGAGTCAGCAGTTCTTTCATTTGCTCCTTACATCCCTCCATTCTACAAATAGTTACCCATTGCCTGCTAGAGAGAAGAACTTTTGTTGGGGATGTAGAGATGGCTCAGCTGTCAAGAGAGTGCTTGCTGTTCTTATAGAGGCCCCAAGTTTGGTTCCAAGCACCCAGCAGATCACCCACCTGTAACTCCAGTTCAAAGGGCTCTGATACCCTTTCCTGGGCTCTATGGAACACCCATACATACACACATATGATTAAATAATAAACCAGAAGGAAAGAGTGTGGGAGATCCTTATTAAAAAGAACTTTCAGCCAGGCATGCTGGCACTGTTGTAGGCTTTAGAAATACAGCAAAGAATAATACAGGCTTTTCCTTAGTAGGCCTGAATTATAGCGGACTAAGACCATCAATAAATGGGGCACTGGGCAAATGCTTGGTATGTCAGGTGGAGTAAGTTCTCCAGCAAGAACTTAAACAGGAAGGAGAGATGGGCCTGCTATGTGGCAATCGAGAGGGAAGCAGAGGAGGTCACTGGTGCCCCACAGGCTTCTCTGCCTGAGGTGGTGTTGAGCAAAGATCTGAAGGTCTCTGAGGAGGAGGGCATGGCAGCCCAAGGAAAAAGAAAATGCAGCCCCCGGGAGCCAGAGTACAATTGGCACCGAGGTCAGAGTCAGGTGGATGAGAGCACTGGGCACCAGGGAGCTTGTTCGGGACTGAGAAGCAGGTGGACCCACCTTGGCCTTTGCTTTGAGCAAAGTGAGATGCTGTAGAGTTTTAGACAGAAGAGTGATGCACTCTGACTTTAAAGACGACTTGGGATGGAGGCCAACAATCGCAGCTTCAGGACCAGCCACTTGCTCTGGTGAATGGGATTTTTTGTTCATTTTGTTTGTTTGTTTAACTTTTATTGGTTCTTTGTGGATATCACATCATGTTCCGATCCCACTTATCTCCCTGTCGGGGTGAATGAAGTTTCATGGAACACCATAACATTCAATCTGCTCTCGAATTATCTGTGCTGGCTTCTACTGAAAGAGTTGAGTAGTTGTGACAGTGATAACATTGTCCACAAAGCCCCTCCTTGCCCTTTACAGAAGTGTCGTCAGCCCCCGATTGGGAGCATGGCTGCTAAGGAGCCACACAGATACAGGAAGACTAAGTGGGAGATGGGTTACGAAGATGCAGGTGTGAAGGTGTGCGAGCTCCAGCCACAGTAATCGCCGGCGGTGCGGTGTTTATTATGGGAAATGGTTGTATTCTGTCTCTATGGAAATAAGCAGAGGGCTAGCTGGTGAGCTCCCACTGAACACGCAGCACAACGCTGTGTGCACCAGACCAGTGGTTCCTCTGCCCGAGTCTCCCATTGCTTTGGATAACTAAGACAGGAGACTAAACAGATTCTCCAAATTTGGTTTTCCGGAAGACAAATACCTGCTGTTTACTATCACAAACATTTCCTTTAAAAAGAAAGAAAGAAAGACAGAAAAAAAGGGGCTGGAGTGGCAGTGCACACCTTTATTCCCAGCACTCGGAAGCAGGAGCAGCAAGATCTCTGTGAGGCCAGCCTGGTCTACATAGCAAGTTCCAGGACATCCAGAGCTACATAGAGATAGATCTCTGTCTCAAAACAAACAAACAAACAAACACAAACAAGAAAGAAAGAAGGAAAGAAAGAAAGAAAGAAAGAAAGAAAGAAAGAAAGAAAGAAAGAAAGAGAGAGAGAGAAAGACAAAAGATTAAAGCAATAGAATACATATTAAATGAAATGATATTTTTCTTGAGATGGGTTTCTCTCGGTAGCCCTGCTGGCCTGGAACTTGCTGTGTAGACCAAGCTGGCCTCAAACTCACAGGGATCTGCCTGTCTGACACCCAGGTGCTGAGATTAAAGGCAAGCACCACTATACCAGGCCTGCATATTATTTTTAAAGATATGATCCTTGTGGATTGAAGGCATTCTTTTAGAGAGGCTTGTTATATACAGGAACACTAAAATAAATAATGATGGATTTTTTTTTCTAAAGTGTGTTAAGATCATCTACTTGTCTAATACTAGGTCCCATAAAGGAAGCAGGACATGTATGTGCCTGTGTAGACAGAGCCCAGAACATTAAGTACCATAAAAGGGAAGGCCACAAAGGACTCACTTCTAGCAAGAAGAGCTTAAGCTGGTGACATGGACTTACGGTGTTTGAACTGGACTGTGGGGACAGCGAGGAAATAGGGACCCAGCGGAAGAGTCGACCAGCAGGAAGCAGAAGCGTGCTGTGGAGGAGAGAAGGCAGTACCAGCAGGAGCTTCTGTTCAGAGCAGAGCACAGCTGTCTCGCAGGACCCTGGAGCAGTGGTTCCCAGCCTGGGGGTCGCGGCCCCACAGCGTCGCATATCAGATATCCTGCATAGCCAATATCTGCAGTTCATAACGGCAGCAAAATTACAGTTAGGGAGTAGCAATGGAAAGAATTTTCTGGCTGGGGGTCACCACCACCTGAGGAACTGTATTAAAGGGTCGCAGCATTAGGGAGATTGAGAACCACTGCTCTAGAGGTTTTCACAGACGCGCACTTCTGATGTCTGTTAACAGCTAACGTGGCCAAAGGGAAGAACAAGGACCCAGGCAAAAGGCGATTCCTTTCTCTCATGCGTCAAGACATGCCTTTCTGGCTCTGAAGAAGGGATTCCAGAGCCCCATAGACCAAACAACTTACATCTTCAAGAGGGAAGCCTGTTCTAGGACCAAGGGTACTCTATGAGACAGGTTTGGGGGAAGTGCCATGGACGGCGGGAAAGACTGGTGTCCAGCAGTGTTCTGGGTGTGTCGTTATGCGTCCAAACGGTCCTGAGTGCTCCCTGGTCTTTGACCTCTCACACAGGCAGCCTCAGACAAGTTAGTTAGCGTCTTCCCCCACTCACTCTCCTTCACACCGAGGCTATGGGACCTGCTCCACAAGTTCTCTGTGAAGGTTAGAAATAATGACATGAACAGCTAGTACGTTTGGGGGGGTCAATACATGGTGGTCATTATTATCCCGGGCATGGATTTCTATAGCTTTTCCCAATCGCAATTTATTAGGAAGGGGCTCAGGGGTTTCTGGGAAAGACCTAATGAAAGCCTGAATTTTCTTTGCTTTTATTTATTTCTTATTTTTTGGAGGAGGGTGATATGGTGGAGTGGGGTGAGACTGTCTTGTGAGTCTTAGGTTAGTCTGGAACTCACTAAGGCTGGCCTTGAACTCGTGGTCTTCCTGCCTGCCCCTTCAAGAGCTGGGTTGTGTTTCTGTTTCCAGTGGAACCGGAAGTCAAATACGTGGGGAACATGCACGGAAATGAGGTGCTGGGCCGTGAGCTGCTGCTGCAGCTGTCGGAGTTCCTCTGTGAGGAGTTCCGGAACCGGAACCAGCGGATCCTGCGCCTCATCCAGGACACGCGCATTCACATCCTGCCTTCCATGAACCCTGACGGCTACGAGGTGGCTGCCGCGCAGGTACGCTGTCCAAGGGCGAGGCAATGGAGAGACTAAAGCCATCTTATGAGATGAGTCAGTGGACAGCGTGTCCCGTGTCCCTTTGTAAACATCAGTACAAAGAGGGAGGGGGAGGGGAGGGAAGGGTAAAACGGCTGGGGTGCAGGGAAAGGCAGAAGCAAAGGGTTAAAACGTCGGCGTCCCTGAAGTGCTCCACTGTGGGCTCTGGTTGAAGCTCAGAGCCCTCCACGCCAGTCCCGCTAACCAGTACAATACTGCAGACGTGCGAGGGTGTTACCACATACCCACCTTCCTGTACCCTTAGCAGAAGAGCACACACTTTCCCCCGATATTGGGGTGGGAGGTTAACTCTAGATGATTCTTCTCCCTCCCGCCCCTTTAACCCATCCAGGCTTTAAACTAAACCTGCTAGCCGAGTTAATATAAACTGAACTATATTCCCCAGCCTCCCGAAGCGGTCTCAAACTCAGGCCCCGCCTGACTCAGGCGCCGGAGGCTGGGTCCACGCTGCGACCCCAGGCCTGGCATCTCTTTCTCTGGAGTCCACGCTGCTGCTGGCGCAGTGCTCAGCGTTCCAGTTCTTTATGCTGGAATTGTTTGTGCAGTGAGATGCACAGAAACGTGCTTGCTGGCTCTGCCCTTCGCTCCCTAACGTAAATGCAGCATGCCTTCAAGTCTCCCTTTAAACCCTGGCGCTGCTTCATGGCCCTGTGTCGGAATAACAGGGGGAGATCTTTGACATGTGGCTTCCGGGTCCCGGTTCAGTCTCCTTAACGTCATAGAAAGGCCTGGGCATCAGGCTGCTGTCCACACAGCACATGCGTTCTTTTAAAAACTGTATCTACATGTCTTTGCAGAAGGAGGGTAATGTTAAAGTGTATTTTAAATCTGCTTGAGGCGGGGAGAGTGGAGGCAGATAGGGTGTCTGAGACAGGATGCCGACGCAGCACAAGCAACTGAACACACAGAAGAGAGAACCGATGGAAAGCCCTGCCAGGCCTCTGGCCGGCCTTGAGAAAGGAGAACTCCAGCATGGCCCCTGTCCTGCATTAGCGTCCTCTGTACACAGCAGGGAAGCTGGAGAAGCAGCTTGGTGCTGCCCACATCCTTAGCAACAGGCAAAAGAGGGAGAGCAGAAACCCCCTGTGGCCCCTTCTCTGCCCGCCTGGTGTGTTCCTAATCAGAGGGAGCAGGTCTTGACCTTGGTTGAATCTGAGAGAGGACCTAGCAGCTTCTAGGACTACTGCCCAGAGAAAAGCTGTCTGCGTGGCTTCCTGGAGAGATGCCTAGCCAGACTTTAAAGCCACGTGCAGGGAAGCAGAATCAAAGGTTCCCTGGTGATTCACACCCTAATCCCCAAACCTGTGAAAAACATTGTATTGCTTGGGTAGAGAGAATTATGGCTGCAGATAGAGCTGAGGTCATGTGCCACCACCATCCGGCTTAGCAATAGAAATCCATTACACCATTTGCTCTGTTTATGGGAACCTAGGAACCTTCAGCTAGGTGATGTTCCTCCTCCTCTCATTCCTTCTGTTCTCCTCCCCTTTCTTTTTCTTCCTCTTCACTCCCCGCCCCCCAGCTTTGGCTCTGCTGGAGATGAAATCCAGAAGTCTCACACAAAGTAAACACTCTGACACCAACCTACAACCTGCCGCTCAGAAAGCCCTTCCTTGCCAGCCTGACTAAGGACCAGTTATGTACAAAATCAACCGATAAAGCCCATTGCTCTTAATATGGACGGTTAAGAGCTACATTGCTGCCGGGCAGTGGCGGTGAACACCTTTAATCCCAGCCCTTGAGGGGCAGATTCAGGTGGATCTCTGAGTTCAAGGCCAGCCTGGTCTACAAAGTGAGTTCCAGGACAGCCAGGGCTACACAGAGAAACCCTGTCTTAGAAAAAGAAAGAAAAGAAAAGAAAACAAAAAAAGAGCTACGTTGCTAAGAACAAGAAGTATCGAGAAAAGCCCTGCTTAGAGGTGCATACCAAACTCCAAAGTCCATAAATGTTTGCACTGTAACAGAAATTATGTAGGTAACTGAAGAGAACTTTTAAAAATGTCATGTTTTCAGTGCAAGCTAAGAATAAAATGTGAGTGGGATGCCCATGTAAAAAGGGAAACGCTGAGAAATATAAAGATTCTTAGAGAAAATTTGAATGACATCTGAGTTTCTAATAGGAAGTGAGGTTCGTTCACCTCACTTCTGGGAACAGCCAAGAATTTGAGCTTTACTCACTTCATCTGTAGGGCTGTAGTGTACACTATTCCCCTTCTCCGGTGACACAAAAAATAATTCTGATGACCTCCCCCGACACACGCACACACACAGACCTGACCCTGCTACACACACTCTGAAACAGGATCTCTTGTAGCCCAGGCTGACCTTGAACTTGCTATGAAGCAAAACATTACCTTGAACTTCTGAACATATGCCACAGTGCCTGGTGTTTACCAGTGCCAGGGACTGAACAGAACACTTTGTGAATGCCAGGCAAGCACCCTTAACAACAGAGGCCGGGCTACTAATGGTAATCTTAACCCACTCTGTTATACCACTTTCTGGTTATTTATGTATGTGTCTAGCCCCCCAAGTGCTATGAATCCCTAGGAGGCTAGAGTAACATCTCCCTTAGCTCTTTCCCCAGTATCTGAGGGCCTTAGATTGACAATGCGTAAGTGAATTAAGTGAACGGTGGTTGACTAGATGGATGAATGAGAAGGTGAGTGAGGGAATACATGAACAAATAAAGATAAAATCTGAACTGTGAACAGAGAAGTTAAGGGATCCAGAAGTTTAAGACTACTCAGAAGTTAAGAATCCTATTATTCCATAATTTGGTTTTATTAGCATATGTTAATTATACATAAGGGTTTCTTGGTGACATTTTCATACATGTATATAAAGTCATCCTTTCTACCTCCTGCGTGTGACCCAGAGTTTAATTAAGGTTGCTTTTGTGAGCATGGGTGAAGGGTTAGTTCCTGGAACATGAGCGCTTTACTTGTGGCTAGACCACTGAAGAACTCCCCAGTATCCATTAACCATCAGTAGCTCTTTAGGGATGGGCAGGGCCTTGGGGGCCCCTTCTCCCTAGCAACCATTAACTGTAAATCCTCAGAGAGGGTGGGGTCTAGGGAGTTTTGAGGAGCCCAATCTTGTGCAGGTTTTACATGGAATCACAGCTGGTGTGAGTCCATGAATTCAACAACTGTTGTCATGCCTTGGAGCTAGCATTCCACAGCACTCCTCCATTCTACACACCTCTTCCACAGTGTTCCTGGAGCCTTGGAAGGGGAGCAGATGTCCCATCTAAGGCTAAGCCATCAACAGTCACATATTCTTAGCACTTTGAATGGTTATGAGCCTCTGTGGTAATGGCTGCCCCCTGTAAAAATATACTTTCCTGTCCAAAACATGGATCTACAGATAATCATAATCGAAAGCCAGTTTTATTGATGCCCTTATAAGGAGAACAAAACCAGGCACAGTGCTGCACACCTGTGGTCCCAGCATTC